TACGGTACTATCTCTTAGGTAGAGAATTTGATTTAGAGACGGACCACCGAGCACTAACTTGGATTAACACTATGAGAGATCAGAACAGCCGTCTGACGCGCTGGTATTTGTCCCTCCAACCATTCCAGTTTCAAATTCGCCATCGGGCTGGGAAAGACAATATCGTGGCAGACTTCTTGTCAAGGCTACCGCACATCGCTAGCCTCCCAGAGGGGGAGGGTAATGTGACGGGGCCACACAGCTTGTCCTAGTACTGAGAGCACCGCACTGGGACGCGCGCTCTTTTTCTCTGGAGCGTCCGTGTTATGCACGTACTACAGCAGCGTTTACATATTACCCACGGCTAGTTCTCTGTCTGGGGGGGAGTGTGAGTGCGTTTGGTGAGATCTCGGGTGCACACTAGGTCTCACCGTCGTGCTACTCACCGTTCGCGTGTGCGCGCACGTGCGTGCGCTCCTCGGGACTGCGCGCGCGTGTGTCCCGTGGGTTGGCCAAACAGAGGCAGAGACGCACACACACATTATAAGTGTTGAGGAGCGTCATGTGATCCTTATTTTGTGTTTTTGTTTCTTATGACTGTAAAGGGGGATTATTCAGTGTGGGGATTATCCTATTCTTTACTGTGTAGTGGGGGACTATTTCTATAGTATTGTTTTGGGGGTAAATGGACTTTAAAGTCAGTGAATGTATTTTGTGTTTGTCAAACGCCCAGGGGAGGGGCTTGTGCTTTAAGAGCAGGACCGGTCTGGCCTGCTCGAGTTTAGTGATGCTTGGTTGCAGAGAAGGCAACACCTGAGAACCTGAGATGAGCATGCGCCTACAACTTGTAAATATTGCACTGTATTGCACTGGGATAATAATGGGAAATAATAAATCACTGTGAAAAGTGTTTTTTGACTGAGCCATTGTGTTTTTGGGAAAAGACCCCACAACAGATTTATTCATGTGTTCCTCCTCACACTTCATTACATGTTTGTCTTATTCACAGGACACACCAGTTACCAACGTCCCAGAATAATGTCTGACCAGATGTTGAAAAACATTAATGATGCCAGACCAGATGTCCTTAAAAAGAGACCACATAGACAACAGATGTCATAACAGATGGACTATTTCCACCACTCCCCTCTCACCTGCACATGGACTACTCCAACCACTCCCCTCTCACCTGCACATGGACTACTCCAACCACTCCCCTCTCACCTGCACATGGACTACTCCAACCACTTCCCTCTCACCTGCACATGGAATATTCCCACCACTTGGCTCAGGAAGGAGGCTACAGTCCGACCAGAACCTCCCTCCATAAGAACACTTTCTTCCCTCTTCTGCAGTCAGACTTCATCACTCATCTCCTTCACCTTGAGACATAGCAAATTCGTAGTTTGTGATTTCCTGTTACTTACAATGACAATAAATATAATTTTGGTTCTGATTCCAGTGTAATAAGGGTAACGGTGTAACTGTAATAGATAGATACTTTATTGATCCTCGTAGGAGAAATTCATGTGTCCAGCAGCAGAAACATGTCAAACTAAACAAAAATGTCTCTTTAAAAGTTACTAACAATAGTAATAAAGTGCAGCATTACTTTATGCAGCAGCAGCAGGTGATGAGCTGCTTCCTGTGGTTGATGCAGAGTCTGTTTGGTTCGGATCATGAATCCTCTGTGCTCTGGTCTGGACCAGTATAAAACCATGAACACTGTACTGCAGAATCATTTACAGCTAAAGAAACAAGCAAAAGAGTTAGGCCTTACTGCCGTTTCCAGAACATTCAAAAGTATATAAAAATGTACTTTTAATAACAGTGTTATAAGGGTGCAATCATTTTATGTTTTGAACGTTTTTGAGAACTTTAGTGTATGCAGTCACAATTACTACAGCCAGTCAGATTTACAGCAGCTATTGTACAATTTCCAGTTTATTTTTAATTCATGGATACAAAAACATGTGCAATTTCAACACCTGTCTATAAAGTGAGACAAAAAAACCCAGTCCAAACATATGAGTTGTACAATTACTACAGATACAAGGATTTGTGTTTGTGCAAAGATCTAAGTAGTTCCATAAAGGTTTGGTATTTGTCGCCTACTTTGCTGCTGCGTTGAGCATAGGCTTGTTCAAGTGTCGGATCCGGCGGTGTGAACACCGCCCTCTTGTGTCAAGACTTGGTACTTTCGTCTTTGAAATTCGCTCAATATTTTATACTATCATTTATTCATTTTTTTTGACAGGACTAGTGAAGCCAGGCCTCACCTGCCTAACATGACCGCACGTCGCTGACAGACATCAATAACATGGAGCACTGACTAGTGTGTGGAAGTTTGTAGCATTTTGTATATATATATATATAATATATATAACAGATTTTATCTAAAGCTCATGTTGAGATCAGCTATTTTAGTCAGAAAAGTGAGAGAGAGGACCTGCCTCACTCAGCCACTGTGATCCACTGTGAGCCGCTGTGGGACCCCAGGACCGGTCTGACACACCCTTCAGAACAATGGTCAAAGCTCCAGGGAGGAGCAGCTCAGATCCACACTGAGGATGTGGCACAGTCACAAATTAGGCTGAAGTTTAGTTAAAAACAGCGCCATCTGCTGGACGAGTTATTACAGAAAAAATTACTGTATTATATTTTTGCAAGTCACTCATTACAAGCAAATATAGTAACTACGTAGTTGTGATATATAATCCATATCTAGCATCTGAGGTGAGAGCAGTGGGAACATCTTCTCTTTATTCCACAGTATAAAGTGTTACATAAATAGTACATAAATCTCCATCTTTTTTCCTCTGCTTTATCCGTTACCAAGATGCTGAGACCAAGATCCTTTTCCACACACTCTTCCTCCAGCTCATTTGAGGGCATCACAAGGCGTTCCCAGGCCAGCAGTGAGACAGTCCCCATTGTGTCCTGGGTCTTCCCTGTGGTCTCCTCCCGAAACGGATGCCCGAGCCACCTCAACTGACTGCTCTCGCCGTAGAGGACCAGTGGCTCTATTCCAAGCTCTTCCCATGTGACTAAACTACTCATACTATCTCTGAGGCAGCGCCCAGCCACTCTGCGGATAAAACTTATGTGGACCAAAGCTCATATAGAGGTGAGGGAGGGCTCATAGACTGAGAGGTGAATCCAGAGCTTTGTTGGATATAGCGACCGAATCACCATATCCAATTGTCAATCTTATGCTCCATCCTTCCCTCACTGAACAAGACCTGAGAGACTTGAACTCTGTCACTTGAGATTGCCAGAAAATCTTCGAGGCCGACCAATAGACCCTCCATGGACTCTCCAAACTCCTCCCAGTCCCGGGTTTTAACTCTGCAGTGAGCAGCAGCTTGGCCCACTGGTACTGGACAGCTGCTTCGGGAGTCCCACAATCCACCATGGCTTGATAGGACTCCTTCTTCAGCCTGACAGCATCCCTTACTACAGGAGTCCACCTTTGCGACCACAGCTAGCTACTGCATCGGCAGAGAGGAGGAGAACGTGTCCCCCTCCCCCACCAGGACACCTGGGAGCAGCTCTTTCAGAGTCCATCTGATAGGAGGCTCAGTGAGACCATACGAGTGTCCGAGACACGCAGCCGAAGGTCAGGGTTTCCTGGTGCCTTGTGCACTGGTGGACACCCTCAGACACATAACTTCAGATCAGGAAGCTTTTTTCCCTTCTCCAGGTGTCACTGTAATTTCCTTGGGCGTTTAAGTCCCCTAGCAGTTTAAAGGGGCGTTCAGACATGCCGCAAAATGTAGGGTGGAAGTGGTGAGCTAGCTTTTGATGTATTTCACACCGCCAATGCTGGAACGCTGACGCCTCGTGCACCAGACGCACATTCTCTAATTGTCAGACGCAGGGGTCTTCAGACCAGAAGTCTTGGGCTGCGGTGGCGCCCGCCGGAAGTGGCGAAAGTAGTGGGCGGACTTTGATACTAACGGAGTTAAGCTAGCGGCTTTTTGTTTAAAAATCTTCTCCAATAATGCAGCTCTGCAGCGTCTCTGTGTCCAGAGACCTTCCAGAAACTTTATATAACGGCAGTATGTGTTCATGGAGGTGCGCCATACGTTTATTTTATTATTAAACGGTACTTCCGCATCAGCGAACACGCTTGAAGCAGTTGCATAAAGTCACGGGAGCATGAAAACGTATATGTTCACATGCACTATGTCCCCCCATTGTTAACCCTGGTTTAGTCCTGGTGTATCTCCTGTTTTGGCTGATTATGAGTATGTTCAGTCGGCTCGCTCAGCCCGCTAATGTCCCCGTGACCCCTTTGCGGCTCTCTGATGGGTTGCTGTACAAGTGTCCCAAGGAAACACATTTCCTGCATGCGTCGATCTTCCGCTCTTGAGCCTCTGCCGCATGTGCGTCAGCCAAAAAAATTCAGATAATATTCATCTCCTGCGTTCGCCGCATGCATCAAATCGCCATATCCACTGCCTCTGCCGCAGCTACGCGTCTGCCATGCCAGACAAACTGCGTGCCGCAACACACATGCAAATATTCGCGACATTGAAACTTGCCGCAACACATGGTCCAATCTGAACGCCTCTAAACAGGGTCCTCTGAAGGAGTTGGGTTGACAAAGTCTCCGTCTTCGACTACAGACTACAGTGGTATTGAAATTTGTATCGAGTATAATTCCTTGTAGCAAAATGGAGTTTGAATGTTAGAATTGGTACAATACAAAGAAGGAGGGTTATAAACTTTTCCGCGTGAGGACTGTTTAGGAGAATGACGTCACCGCTCCCTGCGCAGGGGCGGGGCTCTCAGGGGAGGTGACGTCACGTGCTGATCGCCGCTGTCATCATGGCCTCCGCTCGCACCGCGCTGTGAACAGTGAACCTAAGCTGAGAACAGAAGTTTCTAGAGCGGCCTGAGAGGCAGCGAGGGCCCCGGGCTGCTGTGCGTGCCCGTGCCTGAGCCCTGTCCGTGTGTCTCGGTGTGCCCCTGTCTCTACCCCCGGTACTGGTTCTGTCTCTGAGGAGGAGGACAAGATGGCGGACCCTGCCGAGTGCACCATTAAAGTGATGTGCCGCTTCAGGCCGCTCAACAGCTCTGAGGTCACCCGCGGGGACCGGTACATCCCCAAGTTCCAGGGCGAGGATACGGTGGTGATCGCGGTGAGTGTGTGCCGTTGTCCCTGGCTGTCCCCTTGCCTGTCCTCCACCCTGTCCCCGGTTAGCATTAGCCCCGGAGCTAAGGGCTAAACCCATTTGTTTCTGCGGCGTTAGCACAGTTAGCATTAGCCGGGAGCTAACGCAGTTTAAACCCAGTTAAGCGACATCTTCTTTTTCTACTTTTATTTTATTTAGGAGAATGTATATAAAAAAATCATGGTACCACAGTATATTACGAAATGAGTCAGCACAAGAACAGACATAGAAACATGAAGTAATGGAAAGATTGAGTGCAGCTGTTTATTTTGACAATAGAGCAGTAACGTCAGGGTATTCTGTGTTATATAGTAATAACGTATACTATGTTTATAAACGGCAGAGAGTTTTCAGTTCCAACGTCGTTATCCTCAAGGATCAGTTATAATGCGCCCATAGAGCAGATGTAACGATACTCAGACAGGCATTAGACAAAGCTGCTGACCACACACCGTTAATAAAGTCGGTCAAAACGAAAACGCCTCATTCTCTGCACCGACTCCAGCTGCTGACTTAAACTGCACCAGAGAACATGCACTAGGATGTACATGAAACATACACTAGGAGACATGAAACGTACACTAAGGTAAATGAAACAGATGTGTTATCAAAGTATTTTCATCCTTCCTCACTGTTTACAAGAGATGTTTCATACTAGAGCATGTTGATACAGCCTCAGAGGAACAAAAACCCAGGGCAAAGAGTAACACTAAGAAGAGGTGTGTTTCAGTCAAAGATGGTGATCTATGGAACGTACACCTATTCAACTTAAGAGCTCTAGAACCATTAAAGTATACAAAACCTGTAAAAGTTAAACATTATTGAGAAGTATAAAACACCTGGAGTAATCTCTGATTATGGAAGTTTAAGTATTGTGCAACAATGGGCCTCATTCACGAATAACTTCGTAAGAAACTACTCAACTTTCTTCTCAAGTTGTCCTTAAGTAGATTTCTAAGAAGTCCCCACGTGGGATTCATCAACGCACTCGTAAGGCGCTGAATTGTTCGCAGCTGTTCTCTCAGATTGATGAATCCCATTTCCTCGTAAGTAGAGCGCGCGTGCCAGGTGCTTCATTAGCATAGGTACTTAGCATAAGTAACCGCCCACTAATGCCCATATAAGGGACTGCAGGGCCGTGTGCAGACGGCAGAGGAAACAGCAACAGGCCTTTACACGGAGCAAAAGTCACCCTTTTTTCTTCTTTTACCAGACTGAGAATAAAGTTATAAAATGTTGACTTAAAAGTCGAAATATTATGATAATAAAGTCGAACTAGCAAAATTATGAGATTAATCTAAGAATATGATGAGATTAATCTCAAAATGTTATGAGCTTAATTTAAAAATATATTATGTATTATTTTAAAGATGAATCTCAAAATGTTTTGAGATTAATCTCAAAATATTTTGGACCCTGGGAGGAGATCCAGCGCGGACCAGCGCTGAGACCAATGCAGACCCGAGGAGAGACTGGAGTGACCAGCACACAGAAACCAGCGCGGACCTATAGAAGAGACCGCATAGACTGGAGTGACCTGACTGGAGAGACCGGTGCGCAGAGACCAGCGCGGACCGAAGAGAGACCGCATAGACCAGACTTGAGAGACCAGCGCGGATCCGTATGGAGAGACCAGTACAGACCCGTATAGATCCATGGGAGACACCAGCGCAGACCCGTATAGATCCATGGGAGAGACCAGTGCAGACCCGTATAGATCCATAGGAGAGACCAGCGCAGAGACTCAGCGCGGACCCACTAACCTCCTGCAGCAGCAGTATATATGCCGTTGTTCTGTGGCCCGTGGATAAAGAAATGCCCCCTATAAATAGGAAGGGGTCACTAATACACGGCAAGATTTCCAATGTATTTGATAAAGCGTTGGCACATTTCATTTCAAAATGAATTAAAAAGTAGGCCAGATCTGCAGTGAAAAAGGCGGTATATAAATAAAGATTACTAATAAAGATTACTACAAATAAATAAATACATGCATCGATATGACGGACATATCACTGGAATGTTGTATTTTTATTAAACTTCACCAAAGAGGACAACCCCGGCGTGTGAACATGTCGGCACTGAATGCGTACGAGTGCTCCTGAGGACTCGTAGGATTTGTACTTGCCCAAGAGAAATTCTGGTTACGAGAAATATTCGTGAATGCCACTTTCTTCGTAAAAACCGCGTAAGTAGGATTTACGTACAAATCTGTTCCTAAGAACCGTTCGTGAATGAGGCCCAATGTTTCCATTGTTGGTCTATGAGAATCTGTATAATGTGTCATCTTTGGATGTATTGTCACAGTTGTAATAGGGGTTAGGCAGTATAAAGTCTAAACTTCAGCCTAAATCGGTCAGACATTATTTAGCACAACACTTTTTAATATACACAATTTAGTTCATTATTTCCTTATTGTAAATTGCATACGATTTTTGAAAACATGTGACCTGAGATCTACTGTACATTATGGCTGAAGAAATAAGCTAATACTACTACTAACTACTGAAAGTCCAGTGGTGTAATTGCAGGTGATATACCCAAACATGACATGCCTCTGCTTCCATGGTGGGGGCACTACTTTGTGCTGAGATCCGTGTTGTTGTTTTGCATGAATGTTAAGTGGTAGCTAACTGGTCATGTTTGTAACCACACTCATTCATACACCAGTCTTCACAGACATCTTTGTTTGAAACATGGAATTTAAACTGTAAATATGTAATTACACCAGCATGACTATATAGTTTGCCTTCATGTGACATCAGCACATTCCAAAGGCAAGGCAAGCCTATAGCCAAACCTATAGTTTCACATTGTGGTGGAGCGCAGCTGAAACATATTTCCTGGTAACCCAAGTAAGTGTTAGAATTCAGATTCAAGTCTTGGTTAGGAGCTAATTTTTTAACAATCCACATGAAACAAAGACGGTCACAAAGTTCCTCAACTTCGCATATCAACAATGGTCCCTCTGGTCGGTCTCTCTCTGCTAGTTCGTTGGTCTCTCTTGTCCGGTCTCTCTGCTCTTTCTTCGGTCTCTTGTCTAGTCTCTCTCTTGTCTCTTTAGTCTCTCTCTTGTCTCTTTAGTCTCTCTCTCTGCTATTTCTTTGGTCTCTCTTGTCTAGTCTCTCTCTCTGGTCTCTCAACTACATTCTCATAATTTTCTCATAAAGGTGTGACAGTGATGACAATATTCAAACACATATGCATGATGTTGCGTTGGCCAAGAGAGTTCTCAATGCAAGTTCTTCTCGCATCTGCATAGTTTTCCCCAACACTAAAAAATGTACAGTAGTTCTCTCTCTGTGACCAGGACCCCCTGAAAGTCTCAATGGAACTTTCCTCGATAAATTAAGGCAAATTAGTTAACAGGATGTCACTGTGTCTCTCTCACCAGAACTCGGCTTTAAAATTATTGTTATGAACTTATAGGAGCACCAATAAAAGAAATCTAGAAGTGTCATCTGGTCAAAAGTCTCTTGTATATGACCTCATCAACGCGGCTGTAAACTCAAAGCAGCTGTTGATTTTCCCAAACACGTGATGCCCCCTCACACACACATGCCATATATCTTTGGAAAACCAGTGATCATCATTCAGGACACTTACATCAGCTCCACCAAATGTGAATCATTGATTGACTGCGGAACCTTCCGCAGTCAACCATTGGTTTTGTATTTCTTTATTCCGTCATTTTTTTTGACACGTTTCACAGCTTTCACATTTTCAACAATTTCCACAAGTTATACATCAAAACGTTCCACATGTTTGGGAGATTATTGCTATTACTTTTGGGACTTCAGCGATTTCCGGTTTTTCCGCAATCGGACAAAAATCTGCATTGAGAATTCTGCAATGCATTTTAATAGGCCCATGCATTTTAATAGGACTTCAGCTCTTTCAGACATTTCTACAGTTTCAATGATTCAACAGTTTCAAGGATTCAACAGTTTCAAGGATTTCAGCAGTTTCAAGATTTCAAGAGTTTCAAGGACTTCAACAGTTTCAAGGACTTCAGCAGTTTCAAGGACTTCAGCAGTTTCAAGGACTTCAGTGTAATCATGCAACCTAATAGGGATTTTTCCATGTAAACCAGTATAATGCAACTTAATAGGGATTTTTCCATGTAAACCAGTATAATGCAACTTAATAGGGTTTTTTCATGTAAACCAGTATAATGCAACTTAATAGGGTTTTTTTTCATGTAAACCAGTATAATGCAACTTAATGGGGATTTTTCCATGTAAACCAGTATAATGCAACTTAATAGGGGTTTTTACATGTAAACCAGTATAATGCAACTTAATAGGGTTTTTTCCATGTAAACCAGTATAATGCAACTTAATAGGGTTTTTTCCATGTAAACCAGTATAATGCAACTTAATAGGGTTTTTTCCATGTAAACCAGTACAATGCAACTTAATAGGGATTTTTCCATGTAAACCAGTATAATGCAACTTAATAGGGTTTTTTACATGTAAACCAGTATAATGCAACTTAATGGGGATTTTTCCATGTAAACCAGTATTATGCAACTTAATAGGGATTTTTCCATGTAAACCAGTATAATGCAACTTAATAGGGTTTTTTCATGTAAACCAGTATAATGCAACTTAATAGGGTTTTTTTTCATGTAAACCAGTATAATGCAACTTAATGGGGATTTTTCCATGTAAACCAGTATAATGCAACTTAATAGGGGTTTTTACATGTAAACCAGTATAATGCAACTTAATAGGGTTTTTTCCATGTAAACCAGTATAATGCAACTTAATAGGGTTTTTCCATGTAAACCAGTACAATGCAACTTAATAGGGATTTTTCCATGTAAACCAGTATAATGCAACTTAATAGGGTTTTTTACATGTAAACCAGTATAATGCAACTTAATGGGGATTTTTCCATGTAAACCAGTATTATGCAACTTAATAGGGATTTTTCCATGTAAACCAGTATAATGCAACTTAATAGGGATTTTTTCCTTGTAAACCAGTATAATGCAACTTAATAGGGTTTTTTTCATGTAAACCAGTATAATGCAACTTAATGGGGATTTTTCCATGTAAACCAGTATTATGCAACTTAATAGGGATTTTTCCATGTAAACCAGTATAATGCAACTTAATAGGGTTTTTACATGTAAACCAGTATAATGGAACTTAATAGGGGTTTTTACATGTAAACCAGTATAATGGAACTTAATAGGGGTTTTTACATGTAAACCAGTATAATGCAACTTAATAAGGATTTTTACATGTAAACCACTATAATGTAACCTAATAGGGGTTTTTACATGTAAACCAGTATAAAGCAACTTAATAGGGATTTGTACATGTAAACCAGTATAATGCAACCTAATAGGGATTTTTCCATGTAAACCAGTATAATGCAACTTAATAGAGATTTTTCCATGTAAACCAGTATAATGCAACTTAATAGGGATTTTTCCATGTAAACCAGTATAATGCAACCTAATAGGGATTTTTCCATGTAAACCAGTATAATGCAACCTAATAGGGATTTTTCCATGTAAACCAGTATAATGCAACCTAATAGGTTGCATTATACCACCAGACCAAGACCCAAACGAAGACTCAGACCACCACCAGATAATGACCACAGACCAGGTTTCCTTAGTTACAGGAACCAAATTGTTTCAGCGGTGAGGGGATTTTTCAGTTTCAAGGACACTTTCAATACATTCAGTAGTTTCAAGGATTTCAACTGTTTAAGAATTTAACCAGTTTCAAGGATATCAGGAGGTTCAAGGATTTCAGGAGTTTCCACACTTTCAACAGTTTCCAGGTTTAAAAAAAGTTTCAAGGATTTCAGGAGTTTCAATGTTTCAACAGTTTCAAGGATTTCAGGAGTTTAAAGGTTTCAACAATTTCAAGGACTTCAGGAGTTTCAAATATCTATCAAGTATTTTAACAGTTTCAAGGCCTTTTAAAGGATTTCAAGGATTTTTTTTAGCAGATTTCCACATTAGATCTGTTCCGCAGTCAATCGCAATGGCTTCAGCCATTGCAAGTTTCTAGTATTTATGTTGTGCTTTATTTTAAAGGAGCTATACCTGTTTCTGCAGGTTTTTTTCAGTTTGATTGTTTAGCACTGACATTAGCACTGTCATTTCCCCATCTAGGTATATTTGCGATCTGATACGTATGCAAACATTAGCATGAGTGCAACTTCTTGTAAGCTGTACCACAATCACTGATGAAATGGTACAAAGGCAATGCACTGCTAACACAATGTATAACTGAAAAATTACCAGTAGTTTCGCGTCCAAATGTAGTCCGTAGGGGTCCCGGTCCCGCTCCCGCAGGTCCTTCCAGAGGATACAATGTAAGCTAGCTATGTTCACCCGGCCTTGATGTCTTCTTTGATCATTTTTTCGCTTTAGTTCCCTCTTCTCTTCCTCACTGTTGTATTGTTTGGGCTGTTTTGCTGTGTCTGCAGTTACAGCAAGAGGAGTTATAGCTAATTCTTCTAACATGCTACTGTGTTTAGCAGCGCTGTAGACGCTAGAGGAGGCGTGGCCTGTTCGTAACAGCGCCGCTCCTTGTGACACACACTCTACTCAGCACTTTTTACAGCCTGAATTCATACACAAGCTGAATCAATGAGCTCAAGTTTTCAATTAAATTACAGATTTTAATACAACTTGTTTGTAGTAATACTCATTTAGTTTAGTTTAGTTTAGTCTTTATTTGAAGGGACAGTGTACAGAGACATTTAGCTCAAAGACGGATATGTTCTGCACCAGATTATAGCTAAGCAGCTAGTTTTCATCTGCAGTCCCTATTTTTATGAACTCATGAGAAAATAAATCGGGTATAGCTTCTTCTAATGCTCCGTTTGAGTCAGGTGATCAGCACATGGCACTGTCCCCTGTTCCAGCTCTGACTGAGTGTGTGTTTGCAGAGTAAACCGTACATGTTTGATCGAGTGTTCCAGTCCAGCACCACCCAGGAACAAGTGTACAACGCCTGTGCCCAGAAGATTGTCAAAGGTATGAGTACTCCTACTACTTCTGCTGCAAGGTTTACTACTGCTGTTACTTGCTGTTAGGGCGGCACGGTGGCTGAGTGGATAGCACTCTCGCCTCTCAGCAAGAAGGTCCTGGGTTCAAATCCCGGCCGGACCAGGGCCTTTCTGAGTGGAGTTTGCATGTTCTCCCCGTGTCTGCGTAGGTTTCCTCCGGGTGCTCCGGTTTCCCCTACCACTAAAAATATGTCCAATAGTTCTAGCATGCGCCTCCTGTACTGGCCCCGCTCCCATCTCTGTGTGGAGTGAGAGACAAATGCCCAAAATTAACAATTGTAAACCGCTTTGAGACTCAGATCTGCAGTGAAAAGGCGGTATATAAATAAAAACTTACTTACTTACTTACTTACTGCTACTGTTACCTGAGGTTGTGGTTTGAATCTCCTCTTCTCAGATGTGCTGGAAGGATACAATGGCACCATCTTTGCCTACGGACAGACCTCCTCTGGGAAAACACACACTATGGAGGTGAGGGTTTAGACACGGACGGAGACACACCTGGGACTCACAGCTAGTTCCCTCTTGTCATTTACACAAAGCTGTTTTTAGCATAATGTTTGAGTTATTTGGATCCTCATATACAGGCGCCACCATTGCTCCTCCCTTTTTTTTACTTAATGTAAATGTGTCGTAGTTACGGAGAGAAAACTTAGTCATTGTAATTTAATCTTACACACCTTTCACTAGAACTCCCAGTGTTAACAGGGAGTTCTAGTGTTAACACTGGGATAAAATTCCCAATAAATAAATTATAAATTCCCAATAACCAATAAAATTCCCCTCAATTGTTTTGGTTTTCCACTATATTTATCAAAAGTAATTAAAAGTTAGATAAAACACCTTATGAATTACTAAGTGCCAAAACTGATTAATGTAACTGAGAAACACAGCTAAAACAGTTGTTACAGCAAATAGCAACATGTGGTTTTCTCTCACCAGTTAATATGGTAACATGCTCTCCTCTGGTGGAAATCCAACATTCTACGGCAATTAAAACCCCCTTTTTTCATTGACCACTCCAGGACCAATTTCATAATAATTTCACAAAAATAATGACATAAAAAAGCGAACTCAAGATACAGAAAGTGAATTGAAAAGTTATGAAGACATAAAATGTCCTTGATTACACTCTCAAAACTAAAAGCCGTCAAAATCACAGCGACCATCAGGAGGCAGAAGGAGGCACATGATGCATCTGTTTTATAACATTGTTTTTGTTATTATGAGATTTCATATGAACTTCAGATGTAATTGGTTTGGGTTAAGTGTGAAGTGTTGTTCAGACCTGCTCTTGTGTTTTCAGGGAAACCTCCACGACACAGACGGCATGGGCATCATCCCCAGAATCGTGCAGGACATTTTCAATTACATCTACTCCATGGACGAGAACCTGGAGTTCCACATTAAGGTCAGCTCTACGTTTCAGCTCTACGTTTCAGCTCTGGGGACAAATTCACTCGGCTTGACTAGGTCGAAGCTGGGCTGTGTAACTTTAGTCTTACATATAACACCATGTAGTTTGTCCTACAGTCTTTTCAAAGTAAATTGTTTTGAACAAATCAGCCCTGTAAGTCAAGTTTTGACTCTTTGGGCTGAGAGCTTATTGACTGAGTGAGGGTGGTTTTCTTTCACTCTTTCACGTTTGAAAAAGCTGATCTAAAGATGTTACAGAGGCCAGAAATACATGAATGATAAAACTAGTGCCTTTTTAGAGACTGTAACCAGTTATTGCATACATCTGGTTAAAGCTGCGCTAACTGACTTTAGAAAATTTCAAATGAGAACGCTGAGTTCGTGCTCTTTGCTCGCCCTCCCTGCACGGAGATTTGCTAACTGTATACGGAGGCTCACGTCTCACAATATGGACACATTTGAACGTGGATGGCGTGACCACAGAATGATTGAACAGGGAAGCGCGGAGGAACGAGACTTTCTTTTGGCTGTTTCGCTGTGTAAGCAGAAACCGGTAACAAAGACACGGGAAGCTTCAGGTTAGCCTCCGCCGCTTGTTTACCTCAGCTGTCTGTGCTAACGAGAGACCTATGGCTTTTCTCAAAAAAGCGGGGGCCGGTGGTCCGCTGTGATTGGTCACAATCGGGACCCGAAACGAATTCTCTTCCTTGTTTCACGAAAACTCGATCTAAAATATAATGTCACGCCAGCACAAACCTGCGCTACTTTTCCTTCAAAAGGACGTATATTCCAATGCACTGCATGGATATGGGTTGAATTTTTGTAATAAATACAAAAATAAAGTCAGTTAGTGCAGCTTTAAGTTTAGGGCTTTGGAAATGCTCTTAATCGTGTCCTAAAACTGCAGTTTGAAGGAGGCCATTATTTAAGGGGTTCACACCGAGCCAAACTCCAACATAATGATTGTGTGTTTGCAGGTGTCTTATTTTGAAATCTACTTGGACAAGATTCGAGACCTGCTGGATGGTGAGTCATGTGGTCCTGGCTTCACAGCGCTGCCCAGTGGTGCCACCAGTGCACTGCAGTTACACACAGGGAATGCTTAAAGGAGACATATTCTGCAAATCCAGTTTCTCTCTTTTAACCAAATTATCCTGTTCCTCATCAGTCACAGAGCTGTAGATATCTCAGATTGCCTGTAATTGACATCAGGTCTGTAATGGTATGACGTCATTTTAGCACTACGCCACTATGACATCATTCTTAGTGCAGTTTTCTGCATTTTCAAACAAAAGCATTGCCCATTGCTTTACTTTTTGGTAAGCAAAATTACATTCTTTACAAGCACATGTCTGTGTTTGCAGCTCCCTCCGTGTTAGAAGGGGCAGTTACAGGAGGAAAGCACTTTTTATACACTTATTGTTTCACCAAATATTTCATATTCTAAAACATGACAAGAAAATGTAAATAGTCTTTACCTTTTCTATTCATCTATAGCCATAAACCATTTCCTCCTGGTGTTTGACGACAAGGAGAAGTTCGGATCACACTCTAGACCCCTCATGCATTTTAATAGACAATAAGAATGCAAAATATTTCTACTTGAAAATATGACTTTGTTTCCAGTGTCCAAAACCAACCTGTCGGTGCACGAGGACAAGAACCGTGTCCCATACGTCAAGGTGAGTGCTGTCAGATCATAATGACAGTATTCTGTATTTACCTTCACGTTATATGCCAGATGCTGGGAGTTAGTTGTTAGCCGCTAGCCCTGAAATGAGTCTCACAGCTTTGGGGCCGTCTGTGCAGTGATACTACACCTCCCATGAGGCTTTGCACCTCTAGAGTGAGACATGTTGGAATCACTAGTGTGACTGTATAGAAAATGGGAATGAAAAAATACACAAAGACCAAGTTCCCCTCAGAATTTGACGTGTGTGAAAGTGGAAATAATGACAGCCAGCCTTAAAGGGTTAATAGATATTATAGGTCTATATATCTTAGCAAACAGGAATTTACAATAGCTCATAACATTTGAAATATTCAGAAGCTTATTTGTGTTTTCAATGAAGGTTTGTGAGCTTCTATCAGCTGCAGAGCAATAGGTGGGAGCAATATTCATTATACATTTGTGAAGAGAGGCCAGTTAGACCAACAGGGGTTGCTATTTTGTAAGGCAAGCTCTCTTCTGTAGGGTTTAGACCAATGAGGAGGGGTCCTCTCCTGTAGTCCGTGGTTTGACGACAGTACCGTCTGTTTCAGGGATGCACTGAGCGCTTTGTCTGCAGTCCAGATGAAGTCATGGACACCATCGATGAGGGCAAATCCAACAGACATGTGGCAGTCACAAGTGAGAGCACACAGCCACACACACACATACAACACGCACACACACTTTTTTGAGTGCGCACTGAGCCACAGCGACTCAAGATGTCTCAAAATCAATTGCCTGTGCTCATTGGTGCATATGCTAGCACATGGAGGCCAAAATATCAGTCATTCATTATCCTCTAGATATGTTATCTCTCAGCCTCACTATCTGTAATGCAAGTATATTTGTACAGTGCAGTTTAAAGCACTGTTCATACGCAAGGCAAAGTGCCTCGCCTTTCGTAGGTGCCCAGTGTTCTACTTCTGCAGGAATACCACATCAGAGTGCTGACCAATCAGTGAGGATGAGAGCGAGCAGAGTTTGCTGCACAGAAATGTGGATTCATAAAAAAACAATTATCACACAACATTTGAAAATTGTAGGTTCCCAATCAGATGAAGGACGAGGCGTTTTTGTGGACGTTGAGGTTTATGGGAAAATCTGAGGCTGCAGTATCATGGGTTTCCACTATTGTGCTGAAGACCGGCTTAAGCACCAATCAGATTACATAATACATCCATAATAATACATGTTCTCAGACATGAGTGTCCAGTGCCCGGTTCAGAATGACGTTTATCTGTCTCTGTCCTCAGACATGAACGAGCACAGTTCCAGGAGCCACAGCATTTTCCTCATCAACGTCAAACAGGAAAACACTCAGACCGAGCAGAAGCTGAGCGGAAAACTGTACCTGGTGGATCTGGCTGGGAGTGAGAAGGTACCGCTACTGATCAGGACTGAAAGTGAAACACCTGTTTCACCAATTACAACACCAAATGTTTAGTCGACCCTTTTCCCTTTGGAGGGAAATGCTGGTGGAGGAGTGCTCAAAACAAGATGGAAGAAGCATGCTAAAGCTAGCAACTGTGGTTTGTAGATCTTACATCAGCTGATAAAGTATAGTAATAAAACGTTTCTTAGGCACGTTTCTAGATACTCAAGGTCGCCTTACATAAGTAAAAAGTACATTTAGCTCAAATACAAGTTAAAAGCAGCATGAACAGAGGATTGTGTAGTCTTGTTAGTGAGTACACTCCAAATTACATAATGGCCTAATGATGTGGTTTGGACTGATTCTGATTTGTATGGGCAGGTTGTTTTAAATGTCTTTTAACGTGTAATGATGCTGTGCTTCAGGTCAGTAAAACTGGAGCAGAAGGAGCCGTTCTGGACGAAGCCAAAAACATCAACAAGTCTCTGTCTTCTCTGGGGAACGTCATCTCTGCACTGGCTGAGGGGACGGTGAGTCTTTCTCTTCATCCAATGCCAGGACCCAGGGACCCACCTCACACATTTAACAATTTATCGATCAGACATGTAGTGATTGTGTGAAAAACAAACCATTTCTTCTGTGTTCACGCCTCTGCAGTGCAGTCTGTCTGCATGTGTTTCAATGTTTTGGTTTGGTTTTGTTACATGAGGCAATAGTGGCAGCAGCAGCAGCATTTAGAGCACAGAACCCCCTTGTGGCAGTTTGACATCGCTGCGCTGCCTTTACTCACTCTGTCTGCTGGAGTGTGTGTTGTGTTCCTCATGACTGCTCAGAGCCTTCAGTGTTGTGGTTGTAATTTCACAGATGAACACACAAATCCTTGAGTCAAACCTGAGGCTCAGATCTGTCTCTGTCACAGATAACATCAGGTCCTAATAAAGACTCCCTTCACAAGCTGATCCCGTTTTCATACAGAGAGAGCTGGATACGGGGGGGGGGGGGCTGATAACCATAAACCTACACCGTTTTTAAGATCCTTTTATTTGGGCTGGGTATCTTTCAGAGTCTGCCAATACACTTTGATACACTCTTAGGGATAGGGATCTAAATCGGTGACCGTTTAACCGGTGGTTGACCGTCGCAGCATTAACCGGTCAAAGCTCTGTTAAAAAAAGAAAAGGAATGGGATCTTAATCACACTATTATAAGCCCTATTTGCTCAGTGTGACGGAGTGGGTCCGTCTCTAGCAGTGTGCGCCAATGTATTAGTAAACTCCGGGCCGACTTTCATGCCGCACGCGCCACACACACTTTCACCTCTTCCATTGATGTATAACATCCACACTCTCTTCCGTCTCTCTCGTCTCTTACTAGTCCGCCAAAGTTGCACAATCTGCGGGTTAGAACTACATTGGAGCATACATTTACACACATACCGGTCTGTCGCGATCTTCTGTGTCACGCAGCCTAAAGGATCCTCGCAAATACGCCGCTCCAGTCAAAACACACGAAAACATGTTTGTTCTGTTGATCCTTGGTATTAGATCAGCTCCACACACATCACCTGTATTTACAATTGAGAACAGACCTCCAAGACACGGCTCGTCCCTCGCTGCTCTTACCCTGTGGACGAGCCGTCGTTTGCTGCTAAAAACTTTAACCCGCAGCACAGAAAAATGGGAAGATCAAAAAAGCAGTTCTTTGTGCGCAAAGGTACCAAAGCTGTTGCTGGTTTCTCCCCGCTGTCTCGACTCTGACCCAGTAGAACGCATAGCTGCACTTATGAAAAGTACGCGGCTCGAAGTGACTGTTATTTCAAAGAACGTGGAATATTTTAAACTACGCTGTTAACCCGTTTCAACCTGTTATTGAGGCTTAGTGGTCGGTCATGAAAATTCATCAATTTTTACATCCCTACATCCCTACATACATCCATACATATCTACGGTGTTGATCACAGCATTGTGAGGGCGGGATAACCGTGGTAACCCGCGGTAACCGTGTTCACGGATGAAAACTCACACAACTCATCAGTCTGTTTGACCGGCTCAATCACACACATCAATTGAACCGCGTCATTTATTGGGTAAACACAATGCAGTTCCAGTTTGACCCTTCATGCCTACAAGGCAACATGCAGTCTATACGATTCACCATCCTTGGTAGGCCTACATCTACGTCTCCTGTGGTTCCCTCTGTAGGCCTACTCTTTCACCTGTCTCACCTGTCCTCTCTCCTGTGGTTCCCTCTGTAGGCCTACTCTTTCACCTGTCTCACCTGTCCTCTCTCCTGTGGTTCCCTCTGTAGGCCTACTCTTTCACCTGTCTCACCTGTCCTCTCTCCTGTGGTTCCCTCTGTAGGCCTACTCTTTCACCTGTCTCACCTGTCCTCTCTCCTGTGGTTCCCTCTGTAGGCCTACTCTTTCACCTGTCTCACCTGTCCTCTCTCCTGTGGTTCCCTCTGTAGGCCTACTCTTTCACCTGTCTCACCTGTCCTCTCTCCTGTGGTTCTCTCTGTAGGCCTACTCTTTCACCTATCTCACCTGTCCTCTCTCCTGTGGTTCCCTCTGTAGGCCTACTCTTTCACCTGTCTCAACTGTCCTCTCTCCTCTGGTTCTCTCTGTAGGCCTACTCTTTCACCTGTCTCAACTCTCCTCTCTCCTGTGGTTCCCTCTGTAGGCTTACATCCCCTACAGAGACAGTAAGATGACTCGGATCCTGCAGGACTCTCTGGGTGGAAACTGTCGCACCACAATTGTGATCTGCTGCTCACCCTCATCCTACAACGAATGTGAGACCAAGACTACGCTGATGTTCGGACAGAGGTAACCAGCTCATGCAGGTTAATGGAGTAAGAGATGGCTGGGATGAGCACTTTTATCTTGTGGCTAAAACAGTACAATATGGTACGGGCTCACTTAACCTGATTAAACTGTTTCTAAAGAGCCAAGACCATCAAGAACACAGTGACTGTGAACGTGGAGCTGACGGCTGAGCAGTGGAAGCAGAAGTATGAGAGAGAGAAGGAGAAGAACAAGACTCTGAGGAACACTGTGACCTGGCTGGAGAACGAGCTGAACCGCTGGAGGAACGGTGAGGATTACTACTGCTACTACTGCTACTGCTTATGATACTACTGCTATTGCTACTGCTATCACTGATACCAACCTCAGCTGGAGAATGAGCTGAACCGCTGGAGGAACTTGAGGTCTGCTGATACTACTCAAGATACTACTACTGCTATAACATATTAGTGGGATGAGGATGCCTCAAGGAGTGTATTGACCCTGTGTTGGTCTCTCAATGGTGACCTCTACTGTAGATGTAATATCATGGCAGGTAAACATTATGATGGAAACACGCACATGCTGTAAACCCACATGAGTTGGTATATAAAATATAAAAAATCTGTCTTGAATAATTGAGTGAAAAGTTTTATGATATGTATGGGATTTTGTGTTGAATCATATGAAATAAGCACTAAAATGTATTAATTCATACAATTTTATTGAGAAACCATAGTTTTTGAGAGTCTTTGCTCCAAGGCAATTTTCCCTTGGACACTAGTTCCCCGGCCTTAGAAAACACTTGCTGACAACAAATTCTTTAACGAGCCTGCAGCATGTTGACGCAGTTCGCTCCAATATAAACAAAATTTGGTGCGGCGCCTCCAAAAGTCACAGTTCCTGTATCGGTCGTGTGATTTTTTTGTTTGTTAAAGCGATACACGCACCAATACAGGGTTTCACACTTAAAGACCTTATGACGGGTTTGATTTATTTAGAAATACAGTTTTAATACCATTTTATATTAGAAGATAACTACTAAAGGTTTCAAAATCAGTTGTTGTTTTTTTTGTCTGATCCCCCCAAATCGAAATAACCCCATAGCAACGCCCTTAGAAACGAAAAAACTTCACAGCCCTTGGTGACGTCAGAACGGGTACGTTTCAATGCTGTAAGTTGTTTACAATTTGGTATTTGTTCTTTTTTCGCGGATATTCAAGATGACAAGGCCGTGTACAGCGAGTCTAAGATAACTACTAGAATGTATCATTTCGTTGTCACTGAGATAGTCCAGTGGTTGTGTCGATGGACTGCCAATCCAGATACTTAGGTTCAAATCCCAAATTGATGTGTAGTGAGCAATTGTCACCTGTAGAGGGCAGTATTGTGTTGGGCATCAATGGAGAGAAGAGAGAAAAGGCAGTCCTGTGGCATAGATCCATGGTTTTCAATGCATGGGCGTAACCCGCTATGACGTCACACACAGGTTAGAGCATAGACAACTTAAATTGATGAAAAACACGTTCTTTTTATAAAATATAGGATTTTTTTTTTGCCGGAATCTCTTTCAAATTGACATTGTCATGCAATTTTGATATCCACTATTTTTTTTTAAAAAACCCGTCATAAGGTCTTTAAGCATGACATGTACTACCACTGCTATGACATGTACTGCAGATATACTGCAGATTTTTCCAATGATTGTTGTTCCGTGTTCAGGGGAGAATGTTCCAGTGGAGGAGCAGTTCGATAAGGAGAAGGCCAAAGAGGAGGTGCTTGCGCTCGATAACATCATGAACGAAAAGGCAGCGTCGACGCCCAACAACATCCCTGGAGTCAGACTGACCGACGTGGAGAAGGACAAGTGTGAGGCCGAGCTCGCCAAGCTGTACAAGCAGCTGGACGACAAGGTGAGGGTCTTTTTCCCTCTGGGCAAGGCTTTGTGACCGGGACAGAGGTTCTATTCTCTGAATGATGCAAAACCCACTAGAGATTTCAACTTCAGCCTCACTTTTTTTATTTGTGTGGGTCAGAGCTTACTGATGTGCCAATGCTGCCAATACTGCTACTGCCACACCCTGCTCAGACCTGGCTCAGATCCTCAAGTTCAGAATCCCGGATCCAGACTCATTGAATATCTAAAGCTGGGACTTTTACAAGAACTGGGTTTCCGCTAATGTTACGCAGTGGCGCAAAAGTCCTCCGAGGGACATGGAGTGAATCTTTCCATTAACAACCATGTAACTATTGGAGTCACTTTAACAGCCACTTAATCCTCCTCATTGAAAAAATTGAACTATAATATATTAAACTACAAGTGTGCATGCGCTGAGTTAAAAATGATTTTCACTCCAAATAAGAGATATATCAATTTGTATTTTTGTCTAATGGGACAAAAATACTTCCTGTCCTACGGTCCCATGCCACGCCCCCTTGGGACCACGTGATTGTAACCAAACAATTAACATTAACAGCAGTAAATTAGCTTACAGCAGCCATTCGCATTTACAAAGAAGCCGCAGTAACATAGACAAGAATTGGACAAAACTTGGTTCAAGAAATATTTATACACTTTTGTTAGACCTGTGATGGTGGCATTAAACTGTTCCTTAATTGGGATTTTAAAAGGTCTTACGTATGACTTGAGAAAACCTGGAGCTACCCCTTGTGTTGTTCACACCAATGTTTATGTTCACATGTTTTTCCAGGACGAGGAGATCAATCAGCAGAGCCAGCTCGCAGAGAAGCTAAAGCAGCAGATGTTGGACCAGGAAGAGGTATTAGAGCTAACTCACACATGCTTCAGGAGCAAAACTTCACCTTGAGCACTTCTATATTGGGCTTTTTGGAGCTAGCTGTGAGCATTGTCCATCTGCACACTGTCTTACTTCCTAACGCTGGGCTTGTCCTTCTTCCACAGCTGCTGGTGTCCTCTCGTCGCGACCATGAGAACCTCCAGGCCGAACTGAACCGCCTCCAGGCCGAGAACGAGGCGTCGAAAGAGGAGGTGAAGGAGGTGCTGCAGGCGCTGGAGGAGCTGGCAGTGAACTACGACCAGAAGAGCCAAGAGGTGGAAGACAAGGCCAAGGAGTACGAGCTGATGAGCGAGGAGCTGAGCCAGAAGTCTGTGAGTACTGCTTCCAATACTGCCGCTGCAAGACCTGGTTGGGACCTGGATCAGACCTTGTATAAACACATCTCTGTTTCCAGTCCGTCCTGTCGTCTCTGGACTCGGAGCTGCAGAAGTTGAAGGAGATGTCGAACCATCAGAAGAAGAGGGTTACAGAGATGATGTCGTCTCTGCTCAAAGACCTGGCAGAGATTGGGATTGCTGTGGGGAGCAACGACATCAAGGTGAGTGCTCTGGACTGGGCTGGACCGGACCGGACTGGATTGGAGCAGTTTTTGGACCTTGAAAACTGCTTCAGGCCAAACAGAAAAACAAGAAAATTTCCAATGTCTGTGTCTCTTGTGTCTGTCTTTCTCTGTGTCTTGTGTGTGTCTCATGCCTCTCTTGCGCCCCCTGTAGCACGACAGCGGCAGTGGTCTGATCGATGAGGAGTTCACCGTGGCTCGTCTCTACATCAGTAAGATGAAGTCGGAGGTGAAGTCCATGGTGAAGCGCTGCAAACAGCTGGAAGGAACTCAGTCTGAGAGCAACAAGAAGATGGACGAGAACGAGAAGGAGCTGGCAGCGTGCCAACTGAGGATCTCCCAGGTCTGTACCATGTGACCTCCTGACCATGTGACATCTGAATAATTTGACCAGACTGTAACATGCAGTGGTTTTGCAAGAGAGCTATTTTTATGTGTCATTCTATCTTCGTTTTTGGTGTAAAACCAAAACAGGGTTTATATAATGATTTATGACATTTATTGACATGAAAATTCTGCATGTTATCCAGTGAAATGTATCAAATGAATGAACGGCAGAGGCAAGTATTGTATAAACAGCCCTGGCGTCGTCTAGTCTCTCGCAGACCTAACACTAGAGCCTCAGTCCTTGGGGACAGTGGTTCTATAGCGCTAACACCAGTTCTTAAGTTCAGAACTTCTTTGGGACAGTCCACCTTTTCCTCTAATGGAGACTCTGGAACACTCTTCCCACTGACCTAAAACTATGAACAGACTGAAACTTCTTAACCAGAGTCTGAAACTGGCTGAAATAGGAGCAAAGTTGTTTACATGTTTAATGAATTGTACATAGAACTAATTGTACATTTGTACATTTTAAATATGTGCATTTATGTCCCAAAAGCCTCCACCTCCTTTCAACGAGTGTTGAAAATGATCATTGTGTTTCTACAGCACTAATGTAACTGTTGTGTCCGTATCCATTAAATAAATAGTGGAGTGCCGCCATTTTCAATGCTTTTATTGTCTTCAAAATATTTTTGTCAAACCAAAAAAGTTAAACTTCTGGTTCTGTGTTTTTTTTCAGCACGAGGCGAAGATCAAGTCTCTGACTGAGTACCTGCAGAACGTGGAGCAGAAGAAGCGACAGCTCGAGGAGAACGTGGACTCCCTGAACGAGGAGCTGGTGAAGATGAGCGCACAGGGTACATGCATACACAAACATACATACACACACACACACACGCACGCGCATCTACACACGCGCGCACGCGCATCTACACACACACACACACATACTGATCGCTCTTCTGTCCTTCTGCAGAGAAAGTCCACGACATGGAGAAGGAGAACGAGATCCAGACGGCAAACGAAGTCAAGGTTTGTGTACGTCAGCATACGCCTGCGTGTTACCACGTTAGCACCATCAGCACCGTCAACAACACACTGATGAGCACCTGGTGATCACACTGGTCTTTTTCAGGCGGCGGTGGACAAGCAGATCCACTCGCACAGAGAAGCTCATCAGAAGCAGATCAGCAGTCTGAGAGACGAGCTGGACCACAAGGAGAAGCTCATCACAGAGCTCCAAGAGTGAGTCCTGATGACGACTCTACATAGACACTAGTGTAGCTCCTGATGACTTCTCCTGATGATACCGTTTCTGTTTCAGTCTGAACCAGAAGATCATGCTGGAGCAGGAGCGCCTCAGAGTGGAGCACGAGAAGCTGAAGTCCACGGACCAAGACAAGAGCCGCAAACTGCACGAGCTCACGTAGGTCACAGGGGGTTCTACGTTTTACTGAACATAACCTAATGCTCTGGTCTTTGAGGACTGGATCAGCACCCGCCCCCTCGCCCTCTTCCTCCCACATGTCACACTTGCAGTTGGCACAGACCAGACACGACTAGACCAGACCATCTGACAGTATCAGTTCATGGTGTGTAAAAACTTGACTTTTGTTTGAACAGGGTGATGGCCGACCGCAGGGAGCAGGCTCGGCAGGACCTGAAGGGACTGGAGGAGACTGTGGTGAGTACAGAGCTCAGAAGTCATTAAGATCGTTTTAATGGTTTGATTTGTTCATCTGCTGTTGACATTTTTTTAAGAAACTATTGCTACGACTGAATGAGAGGAGGCGACTCTGCTCTTTTGTTGAGAAAGGCCCTCTTGTTCATATTGTGTTCTGTTTCAGGCCAAAGAGCTGCAGACTCTACACAATCTGAGGAAGCTGTTTGTCCAGGACCTGGCCACACGTGTCAAGAAGGTCAGAGACGAGACTCGCATAGTCCTCTTAAAAGTCCAGGGCATCCAGGCTCCTACTGTCTCTCTGTGACTGTCTGTCTTTCTCTGTCTCTCTCTTTCTCTGTCTTTCTGTCTCGGTTTCTCTATCTCTCTCTCTTTCTCTGTGTCTCTTTCTTTGTCAGTCTCTCTTGCTTTCTCTGCCTGTCTCTTTCTGATATAGTAAAATAGTATTTGAATAGAACCATCAACCTCCTATAAATGTGACTGTCCCATCTCTAAAGCTAAGTGCCTTTTTCAGTCAGATAAAACATTGTCGATTAACCAGCAGCCTTCTGAAATCCAAATTCTCCCACATGTCTTCCTCCTATTTGTGTGCTTTGTTACTGATCCCTAAATCACTTCTAACGTAAGGCCCAAATTACTGGCTCTCTGCTTCACTGGTCCAGACACTTTGTTTGTGCTTCTAAAGTAGTTTTCAGGTGTTTTTAGAGAGCGTAGTCCAGAGTGAGTGATCTCTGGGGTATGTTTCTGACCCTGTGCAGTCTTTAACCCCCCGTGTGCTGTGCTACAGAGTGCAGAGATGGACTCAGACGACACTGGAGGCAGCGCTGCTCAGAAACAGAAAATTTCATTCCTGGAAAACAACCTGGAGCAACTCACCAAAGTCCACAAGCAGGTGAGACCCGGACGCAGACCCGGACGCAGACCCGGACGCAGACCCGGACGCAGACCCGGACGCAGACCCGGACGCAGACCCGGACGCAGACCCGGACGCAGACCCGGACGCAGACCCGGACGCAGACCCGGACGCAGACCCGGACGCAGACCCGGACGCAGACCCGGACGCCCAAATCGGCCCATGAATGTGTTTCCAAAGCATATAAGAAGTATGTTAAACTGGACTGACGGCTGTGAGATCCAGTCTGTAATTTTGGCTCAACTCTTCTCCTTTGGAACTGTGATTTATAAAAAATCTTTCTCATATTTACTGTAGAACTTTTTCGATTTTCACTTGGGCTCAACTTCAGCGGCACGTGGAATATAATTTACAGCACAATCAAACGCACCGTGTTTCCTGCTTTTTTCTCACATAAAATAACCATAGACTGTAAACCGAACAAAACCAAACCAAAACTGCGTGTGCTTCATCATGTGATCAACTTCATATCAGCATGGCTTTCCCAGCACTCTTAAATGCGTCTTCTGGCTGTGTCTCTGTATATCACCATGGAAACCAGATCCTACAGTGTAAATGAAGTAGAAATGGTTCCATCCAGTTTTTTTGCTGCTCAATCACAGCACAGGTTTACATGAGTCTGTTCTACATCATTAAATTGGACTAAACGAGAGGGATTCTGTTTCGCTTGTGCTTTGGAAACATTCTTCATTTACAACCGCCTTCAAAAAACATCCTGTTTGATGTTGGCACTTGCACATTTCTCCTTATGACCTGTTCTCAGTAGCGCCCCCTGTGTGCTCTGTGTGTATGTGCAGCTGGTGCGCGATAACGCCGACCTGCGCTGTGAACTGCCCAAGCTGGAGAAGCGTCTGCGCGCCACGGCAGAACGTGTGAAGGCGCTGGAGTCCGCGCTCAAAGAGGCCAAAGAGAACGCCGCCAGAGACCGCAAGCGCTACCAGCAGGAGGTTGACCGCATCAAAGAGGCGGTGCGCGCAAAGAACATGGCGCGCAGAGGACACAGCGCACAGATCGGTGAGAATTCAAAAACAAGTCTTCTGTAGCTCACTGTTGAATTTTGAGACTATTGATGCATTTTTATTTAGTTTATTGAAGGTTGTTTTTAAATTGAGTGTCCTTTTCCTTTCACACTATGGAGAAAGTGGGCACTGGTTGAACTGTAGCAGCTTCCTGATTGGTCAAAATTAATGAAAATCCTTGAGGACCCTCTTCATTTGTTTAACTGTTCTCCTCTAGCAAATTGTACTCTTTTATATGCTAAAGCGAGGGACTAATGTAATTATTTTATTATTGAAAAATACTTTGTTATGAAGCTAGATTTTCCCAATTTTTTGGAAAGAACCGCCAAACTCCACTGACTCTTGTTTGACGAGCATGTATCGCCAGAATGATTGACAATTTCCATTGTTATCAACCAATAGTCTTGATGATCTATCTGGATGTAAAAAAATCCTCTCTTCAAGGTGCAAAATGGTAACAAAAATGGAAATTCAAAAATCTTATATATGAAAAATAAGGATATTTATATACAAATCTTTTATTCTTTTTAGCACAACCCTATCAGTGATTGGTTGGAGTTGTGTGTAGGCCCTTGCTGATTGGTTGGAGTTGTGTGTAGGCCCTTGCTGATTGGTTGGAGTTGTGTGTAGGCCCTTGCTGATTGGTTGGAGTTGTGTGTAGGCCCTCGCTGATTGGTTGTCTTTCTTCTGGTCCGCAGCTAAACCCATTCGTCCCGGACAGCAGCCGGTGGCCTCTCCCACTCACCCCAACATGAACCGCTCAGCCGGAGGATTCTACCAGAACAGCCAGAGCGTGTCGATCCGAGGAGGAGGCAAGAATGACAAGAGCAAGTGAGCCGCCATTTTGTGTTTGTATTGATCAGGGCAAGAAGAGCAGCCATATTGTGTTTGTATTGAGATCAGGAAACATAAAGGTGGCCGCCCCAGACCCCTCTTCACTGGAAAAACAATCATTTTCAATAATACATACACTGTAAAACATAAAATTCCAATTAACTGTTCTCAAAATCATCTTTTTAGTTGGAAAAATGGCAATATTTTGAATATTGATAAATATAAATGTTCTTGTTTTTCAGTTGAAGTTGAAGTGACAGAAGCTCGGCCAATCCCGTCGACCGCTGCATCCAGGCTCCTCCCCCAAGACTCCGCCCCCAAACCCCCACTCTAGCCACGCCCCTTTCCGACTCTAGCCACGCCCCTTTCCCTCTCCAGCCTTGCCCACGGCCCGTATAAATATCTATAAATAAGCCACGCCCCCCTGTACAGCCCCGCCCCCTCGCCTCTCTTCACTCTCTCTTCCGTTTTTGCACAGTTTGTTGTGGCTCGTGTTTCTGCTGAATGTACTGAAGTCTGCGCCGCTCGGATCACACTAAACTGCATTTGACCCAAGAATTGTATGACGTTTGACCCACAAAGTGCACTATACATGGCCCTAGAATAAACCGTATTTGACCTGTGAATAACACTATATATGACCCACAAAGGACGCTACGTTTGACCCAAGAATTGCACTGCATTTGACCCTAAAATAACTGGATTTGACCTTATGAATTACACTATATTTGACCCACAAAGTACACTGCGCTCTACCCTTTTATTGGCCGCCCCACAGACATCACTTTATCAGAGGATTTTTAACTGATGGTAACATTACATTTGACCCAGTCCGTGCGCTCTGTGTGTGTGAGCGGTGCAGACTGACCTCATTAATATAAATATGGCTTCAGCTTTGAAAAAACTGATGGAAATGTAGATTCTCACGCCGCACTGAAGGAGCCGGTTCTGTGGAGGTTTCAAAGGACTGAGTTTGAAAACGGGTTTTTGGACTGAAGGGGCGGGGGGACGTGTTGGATGTAGGAGAAAGTCACTACAGACGGTTAAGTAGAATGTCTCTTTAAATTCTGAACCACTTTTACATTTTTCATGTTGTAAACGCAGTCACTTTTCTTCCACGTTCATTCGGTTTTTACCTTATTTTTGTCTTTTTTCCCTTCACAAAGTCGCTCTGGGATTTGGGTTTTGGTTGATTTTGGTGAAAACTCTTACACAGAACTGTCTCCACAGAACTGTCTCCTTTTAGACTTTTCCACATTTCTCACTCTGTAAATTCCTCTAAACTTTCCCCTTTTTCTTTTTAATTTTATTGTTCTCGTTGGGACTTTGAGAGGAGCCGCTGATCGACCAATCAGGCGCGCCGATGCTGATGTCTCAGGATGAAGGGTTTCCATAGGCCTGTTTTTTGTTTTGTTTTTTTAGTGTGATGTTTTTCACTTTTTGTTTTTTTTTTAAAAATTGGGTTTTGTGTCTCGTGCTCCTTTTCACCGTTTAATGAACAGTGCAATATTCTCAACACTGTAAACGCATTTGGGACCGCCGCATTTCAGCGCAAGACGTACGCGCCAACATTTAAAAAACTACACAGACATGCAAGCGCTACGTAGCTTTTTATCTTCATTTTGAAATATGTTTTAAAGCAGATCTGCCAATGGAAGTAGGAGCAGGCTTAAAATGTTTTACCTGTATTGTATTTATGAATTTGAGGAATAAAAGTAGTTTATATTTGTACATTTTGACTATTTTACGAAAGCCGTTTAATTCAATTTAAGCAGCTACACAAATAACATTATCGCAAACTGTTAAAATGTCTTCTGTCGGTATAATATTTAGACGCAAAGAGACACGTGAAGTAACTAAAGGCCAAGTTTTGTCGCTCTGTCCGCTCTCTCTCGTGTGCTCGATCTGTTTTCTGATGCGTTGATGCTCTAGCGCCCCCCTGTGGAGTTAGCGTAGCGTAGCATCTGAAGGCTAGAACGTCATGGGTGAGAGAGCGGAGGAGGGAGAGGGAGAGAGTGCTGAAATGCGGTAATGTCCCAAATGCGTGACGTGCAGCAGGTCTCTGAAAACACTCTGTTCCAAATGAAGCACTCCTGCGGCTCACGATCGAGGTGTAATTATCGTTTCTGGACCTGAAGTGGACGGTGGCCGCGGTCACATGCCCCCGGCTCATAACTTAAGTAACCGTAATAGTAGCCATGTTTTTATTACTGTGTAATAGTGGTGCGTGTGGCGACAGAATCATTCCTGCGGGACACATGCATGGTGTAAATGTGATTAAAGATGAAGACAAACCAAACGCCTCTTTATTTCATGTCTTTAAATATGGAACAAACCACAGCGAGATCAGAGATAAGAGGAATGTAAACATAAGTCCTGCTGTGGAAATTACAATGTCAGTTTTGCACATTACAGCAGAATAGACACACATCAAACAGGATCCATTGTTTAAAGGAGCAATATGTGAAGATCTGGCTAAAAGTGGTACTGCAGCCTCTCCCACTCCCTGACTCAGGTTGCCAGATTTGCAGACGAATATAGCTGGGACCATAATGATCTAGCCTGGCCATAGCCATCCATACACTCCGCTCAATCATCATTTCACTGCATGTAACGTCTGGGTCTGGTCTCTGTGTTAGCGATTACAATCTACTCAGAGAGCGTGGAAGGCGGGTGTTGTAGGTCGGTGCCGGTGACAAGAGTTAGCGCCGAACGGGCAGATTGTAGTTTGGCAATGGCGAGGAAAGCGATATTAATCTTTATTAAGGACACAATACAACACGGTCCATAGTTAAAAAAACCAAAGAAAAAATATATACAAGAAAACAAAACAAAAAGAGAACATTACAGCTGCTGAACAGTATAAAGGCATAACCTCCAGTAAGTCCATAATTTGGAGGTGAACAGCAGTGAGCAGAACTCGGGGCTGACGAGAGTCTTAACAATCACATTAATAGAGTTCCTCAGACGACACATAAATCTGAACTGAACATTTCGAAGAGATGCAGAACAAGATCGAACACCACAGTAAGCAAACATCTCACTTGCGCTGCTGTGCCGAGGAACCTTCAGCAGCAGCCTCAAGGAGTTGTTATAGGCCACAGTGAGTTTCTGCAAACTGGACTTTTTAAAACTCTTCCAAAGGTAAGCAGTGTACATAGGTGAGCAGTAAGATTTAAAAAGAGTTACCTTTACCTCAGGAGAGCACATACTAAACTTACGTAGCAGCATATTTGATTGGCCATATAACTGACACAGCTGCCTGTGCATGTCCTTGTCATCAGAAAGGTCACTGGTGATGTAGTGACCGAGGTATTTCACCTCATCTGCAGATTCCAAAAGGTTTCCGGAAAGGAAAAAATCAGGAAAACATAATTTACTGTCATCTTTAGTACGCGCAATCATTACCAGGCTTTTTGCAGCGTTATATTTGATATTATGATCCAAACCATATTGAGAGCACACATTAAGTAGTTGCTGAAGACCAGCACTGCAGGGACTGAACACCACCAGATCGTCTGCGTACATGAGGTGATTATATCTGCTGTAACCAACACTGCATCCTGTGGTACAGGTGTTCAGTTGCACCGACAGGTCATCCATGTACACATTAAACAACATGGGAGAGAGAATCCCTCCCTGACGAACCCCATTAGAGACTCTGAAGGAGTCAGAAAGAGCCTCCCCCCATTTCACCTGCATGGTCTGCTCCGAATACCAAAAAATAAGCAGTCTGGTCAGATACCCAGGAACTCCACGCTTTGACAGTTTCAAAAACAATTTCTCATGATCAATTCTGTCAAAAGCCTTGGAGGCATCTAGAAAACACACAAACATTGTAGAGCCCTGACAATGATATTTATCTAAAAGTTCCTTTAGTACAAAAATACAAGTGTCTGTACCATGGCCAGATTTAAAACCAAACTGGTTAAAAGTTGTACTTAAAAAAGGTTCAAGTCTATTTAAAATCACAGTCTCAAGAACTTTGGAAACGATGCTAGCCAAAGCTATAGGACGATAGTTAGCTGAGCTAGTCAGTTTTCCTGCTTTGTCTTTAATAACAGGGACCAGCAGAACTGACAGAAGGCAGACTACCATGAACCATGAATCCAGTGAAACACAGGGCCAGCAGAGGGTACATATTCCTACTTTCAAATTTGAGGTGTTCAGATGTGATATTATCTGAGCCACATAACTTTTTACTTTTGAGTTTGTGGACAACATTAAAAACCTCTTGTGGCGTTACTATTGAACCTGCATTGTTTAAAATAGAACCTACAATGGGAGCTTTTCCCTTAATACAATTAAAGAGATCAAAGTAAAATTCTTTCCATAATTGACAAATATTTTGTGAGCCACTCACTCCATCCACAACCGAAGGGAGGGAGGTGTTGCTGTTACTCATCATTCTTATCTCCTTCCAAAAGTAACTGCAGGTGTTGTCTTGGAGCTTAGATGCCAGAGATTCAGCCCTAAGACGCTGTTCATTCTTTTTTATGTACCTCAGACTGTATTTGTATCTTGCATTTGCATATTTCTTGTTTTCAAACAGAGGTCCACTCCTGCATCTCCCTGCATCCACCCAAGCTTTGAATGCAGCACGGGCCTCAGCATGAGCCTCACCTACGTGCCTATTCCAACCGGGCTTTCCACAGGGGGAGCGTATCTTGTTTTGACAGGGTTTCCCAGAACTTATAAGGGCTTCCAGAATTTTACAATAAAACAAATCCAGTTGGGTAGAATGATTTGTACAGTTCATATCACGGCATAAAATAGCATCCCTCGGCAGATCAATATGTCCAAGATTAACATGTGTTCTCCGAGTATATGCACAGATGTCCTCACAAGTAAGCTTAGACCAGTCCACTCTCTCGTAATATACAGACGGCCCTAAAGAAGTAATCAAGGGAACACTACCCAGGTTACATTTAATAACAAGTGGCATGTGGTCAGATGTAGCCAAATCATATCTGATCTGCATGCTATCAATAACTGCATGAGCATCACTGGTGCATATACAATGGTCAAGCCAGGATGTTGAGTGCCAGGCGTCACTAACATATGAGAAGCTATCGCTTGGGAGAAGAGCCATACTGGAAAGAACTAGGCGGTTCTCAACACAAAATTGCTTTAAATGATTGGCAAATAGAGATTTCTCATCCAAAACATCAGCATTCATGTCCCCAACTGCAAATATACAGGTGCAGTTAAGGTCTTGAATAAATGCCATAATCCCAGCCAGACAA